TAATAATTAATAATATAAAGAATTGAGAATATATATAGATGATGATGATTATGTAACAAAGAACTTTTGTTGAGAAGTAAATGCCTAAACTTAAAAAGGAAAATCATAATACGTTGAAAAGGAAATCTTAACGGAATTGCTTATTTTAAAAAGGAACATGAATGAAATTAATCAAAAAAGAAAAAAATTAAGTGAAAAATTTAGAAAAGGTTGGGAAAAGTACTAAAACTAGTTCAAATCATTAAAAAAATGAAATATTTAATTTTTATTACCTTTATTCATTCGTTTAAATTAGTGGATAAGAATTCAGATTTTTTTTAAAAACTGAGGAAAATATAATTTTGTTGAAATTTAATATGTTTTCTATGACTTTACATATTCTGATCAAAAAGAGTATTCATTAAAGCAAAGGAAAAATTATGCTTACTTTTGATTATGCAATTATGGAAGGAGAAGATTACTAATTTTATTTGAAGAACAACCTGATTTAGATAATGAAATTTATTTTGAATATTTAATTGAAATAGAGGCTAATGATATTAATGAAATAACTTAGATGAAGATTTAATTGAGCTTAGAGAACCTATATTCTTAGATTATTTAAATTGATCTTTTTGTATATACCTTTATTGCAATTTAGATTTTTATAAATATATAAAAATTGAAAAAGCAAATATGAAGAAAAAAATATAATATATACATCTTATTATAACTCATTGCATTATTTATTAACTTTCTAAAATATCTATCAATTCTATTTATTTTAAGTCCTACATAATAGAAAATAAATACTTCACTTATTATTTCAAGTAAATTTTATGCTACAAACAATGCATTTGCATTTGTTTTATCTGTTCTATATTTTTCAATTAACCATGTAAATTTAAAATTATACTTTAAGTGAATTCTTTCTCTTATGTCTTTCAATAAACTAACCTAATTTTGTAACAATGATTAATCTAATCTAAAAGCTAATTCTGTTTTTTTTAAAAGTTATTCATAAAAATTTTCTATTCTTGATTCATCAAAACCATATTTTTGTATATCATAAAGTGTTTAAATTTGTTAAACCTGTTATTGTTGTCTTTCTAATTTACATTCTGCTACAACTCCTTTTACTCCTTCATGTGATCCAAGATTTTCAAGTTTTTCTATTTAATTCATAATAAGAGATTAAACTTCTTATACCAATTCTTTTTTGACATAGATAAAATCAAACAAAAAATAGGATTAAGTTTGTTTTTAATTGAACATTATGTATAATTCTAACAATCCATAATTTGGATCTTTTATTTATATTTTTTTATTTGGACATATTAAAAAGTCAATTGTATTTTTTTCTGGTGGTTTCCACTTAACTATATTTTCGTTTGTTCCAGATATATAAGGGAGTGAATTTTTAGTAAATATAAGCCCATCATTACCATGAGGCAACAAAGGTATATAATTGTTAAAAATATACCTAACTTTATTTGGAAGAAAAAAATCTTTCAGAATGCACCTAATTTTTGGAAAATGATTTAAAGGTTAAAAATCAATGTTTTATAGTGGGCCTAATTTTTTAAGAAGCTTTCTTAATTCTAAATATTCTTAAGCACATCTCAATCTATCAAAATATTATAATTTTGAGGTCTAATTAGTATTATGAATCAAAGTATCAAATATTAAATAATTAAGCGCTTAAGTATTATTTGGATAATTCTCTACTATTAACTCTCCATCAAACATCTCAATTATTTACAATTCCTAAAAATTTAACAATTGTGAAGGAATTTTCATTTTTATAAGATGTAATTGATATGGATGATTTAAGTTTTTTAATCCTCCTAAATTTCTTCCAGTAAAATAACAATGGCCATTGTTAAGGATAATTAATAAGTACCTCACTCCATCTGTTTTTTCACAAACCAGCCAATCATTAAGTTCTGACTTAATTTATGACAATTTTGCTTTTGATAATGATTTAGGATGTGCTCCAATAAACTCTGGTCCTGCTTGATTTTTACCGCGTAACTAGAAAATAAAATTGAAATACTTAAGCATTAAGGTTTTTCAAAGAATCTTAAAGCCATTTAAACTCTTCTTCAAAATCACTTTACTCATCCTATTGTAACAATTAATTAATGAAAATTCCTGGATTTTCATAATATCCTTCCATTTGGGAATATGAATCTAGATATATTTATTAAATTTCTTTCTAAAATAATCGTAAAAAAAAAAAATGCTATCTAAAAATAAATGCGTCATTTTCTTAAAATTTAAATCTTATCCATTATTAATTGTAAATTTATTAATAATATATATTATCAAATGAGCAGTATCCAAAGCACTCCCCTTAAAAAGAAAAAATCAATTTTCTAAAAGATAAAAACGTTCTTTAATGATATTCCTGATGAATAAATTACAGTGATAAATGAAGCTTCATAAAAAAAACCTCCTTTGATCAAAAAAGTATAGTTTGTTCCTTATTATAGAGCTAATCATTAGCAGAGCCTAGTTCTAAAAGCAAAAATAAAGATGCAAAACATTTATATTTTTAGGAAGACTTTAATGAAATACACCAAGTTAATATTGAAGAATTTGGAGAATGAGTGCAATTTCTATGATTCCTTTATATATATATATGACTAGTTCTATTAAATGCTTACTTAAACAATAAATATTTTGCAAACATTATATTTAAAATTGAACTCTGGTTATTAAAATGTAACTAACTATATGGATTTGTACATTAAATGCAAAAAAAGCAAAGTTTTAAATATTTATAACGAAAAGTTATATGTCTTTGTAACTAATTTCTAAAAAGCAAATATCTAAATTTCTGAAAAAGATGCCAGTAACAGAAAACAAGTTATGAATGGGATTGAACTCAAAATTTATCAGCTTATTATTAGATTGTCATTTAATATAAAATTTTTGAATTTTATGATGAGAATTATAATTATTTACGTCTAATAATACTAATAACTATATAATTAATTCTGAATATATAAATAATTTTAATAAAGAAAGATATTTTTTGCTAAATGATTAAAAGATATTTTATATAATTTAATACACGTGCAATCTAAATTTATTATAATGAGGAGCTTAAATCTCTATCTTGATTATGAAAAAAGTTAAATATAAATTATCTTATATCAAATATGGCTTAGAACAAAATTCATAAGAGAGTAGCAATCTTTGAAGCTGAAGGAGGTTCAGATAAGACTTGGAATGGTCACAGAAAGGACACCATGCCAATTGTTGAAGCCTTTAAAGAAGTAGGATGGGTAGCTGAACCCATCTTCTTTAGAGACGAATGGAAAGAATAAATCACAAAGTATGTGATCGAAAACTGTGATGCTTACATTCCAAGAATCAATACAGGAAATCTTCCAAATGGTGAAGCTGTCTTCAACTAAGCTTTAAGAGAGATGTGTGCTGCTGGAGTAGTTGGTACACCTCACCCTGACACTCTTATGAAATATGATTCCAAATTGAGTCTTGTAGACCTTAATAAAACTCCACTTTCCCCAGCTGACACAGTGGCTTATTTCAAATGGGATGAGCTTGTTAAAAATTTCCCAACTTCTTTAACAAATGGAGAAAGAGTCCTTAAACAAAATAGAGGATCAACAGGAGAAGGAATATGGAGAGTTTAAGTTGCTGAAGGAGTCTAAGTTGTTAAGGGAGAAGCCTTACCATTAGATACTAAGGTCAAATGCACTGAAGCAGTAGACAACCATGTTGAACATCACACTCTTGAAAGTTTCTTTAAATTATGTGAAAAGTATTACAAGGTTGAAGAAAATTTCCTCATTGACATGAGATTTTTACCAAGAATCAAGGAAGGTGAAGTTAGAATCTTCTTAATGGGAACAAAGCCTTTGTTTGTCATCCATAAGAAACCAGCTGATAAATAAGATGCATTTTCAGCAACACTCTTTTCTGGAGCTACTTATAAATATGAATCCCCAGAAGCCTGGCCAGAACTCATTAAATTCTTTACATCATGTCTTTAACATTTGACTGACAATCTTGGAGATGTAGAAACAGTCTTAGATTGGACTTGTGACTTCATCCTTGACACTGATGAAAATGGAAAAGACAAATATTGGATTAGTGAAGTCAATGTTTCATGCATTGGATTTACAAATTAATTGGACATTGGCATCTAATAAGAAATGGCTCAAGAACTAATTAGAAAGGTCTACAAAAAGAAGGGAACTTAATGAGTTATAAATAAATATAATCATAAATTTTAAGCCTAGGTTTCTAAAAGTAACATATAGATCCATCTTAAATCAATTCTACATAGAAAATTCGATAAAAAATTGATTATTAGCCATAATGAATTTCTAGATACTTCTAGAAAATTGTTATTAATATTATGTAATAATATGCAATTAATATAAAATTATGCACGTGCATTTACTAAAATATCTAATTATTAGGGGTATATATATTTGCAGTATATTTGCATAATATCTTAAATATAAAAATATCTTTTTGTATAATGGCTTAAGCTAGAAAACTACACAGAAGAGTAGCAATCTTTGAAGCTGAAGGAGGTTCAGATAAGACTTGGAATGGTCACAGAAAGGACACCATGCCAATTGTTGAAGCCTTTAAAGAATTAGGATGGGTAGCTGAACCCATCTTCTTTAGAGACGAATGGAAAGAATAAATCACAAAGTATGTGATCGAAAACTGTGATGCTTACATTCCAAGAATCAATACAGGAAATCTTCCAAATGGTGAAGCTGTCTTCAACTAAGCTTTAAGAGAGATGTGTGCTGCTGGAGTAGTTGGTACACCTCACCCTGACACTCTTATGAAATATGATTCCAAATTGAGTCTTGTAGACCTTAATAAAACTCCACTTTCCCCAGCTGACACAGTGGCTTATTTCAAATGGGATGAGCTTGTTAAAAATTTCCCAACTTCTTTAACAAATGGAGAAAGAGTCCTTAAACAAAATAGAGGATCAACAGGAGAAGGAATATGGAGAGTTTAAGTTGCTGAAGGAGTCTAAGTTGTTAAGGGAGAAGCCTTACCATTAGATACTAAGGTCAAATGCACTGAAGCAGTAGACAACCATGTTGAACATCACACTCTTGAAAGTTTCTTTAAATTATGTGAAAAGTATTACAAGGTTGAAGAAAATTTCCTCATTGACATGAGATTTTTACCAAGAATCAAGGAAGGTGAAGTTAGAATCTTCTTAATGGGAACAAAGCCTTTGTTTGTCATCCATAAGAAACCAGCTGATAAATAAGATGCATTTTCAGCAACACTCTTTTCTGGAGCTACTTATAAATATGAATCCCCAGAAGCCTGGCCAGAACTCATTAAATTCTTTACATCATGTCTTTAACATTTGACTGACAATCTTGGAGATGTAGAAACAGTCTTAGATTGGACTTGTGACTTCATCCTTGACACTGATGAAAATGGAAAAGACAAATATTGGATTAGTGAAGTCAATGTTTCATGCATTGGATTTACAAATTAATTGGACATTGGCATCTAATAAGAAATGGCTCAAGAACTAATTAGAAAGGTCTACAAAAAGAAGGGAACTTAATGAGTTATAAATAAATATAATCATAAATTTTAAGCCTAGGTTTCTAAAAGTAACATATAGATCCATCTTAAATCAATTCTACATAGAAAATTCGATAAAAAATTGATTATTAGCCATAATGAATTTCTAGATACTTCTAGAAAATTGTTATTAATATTATGTAATAATATGCAATTAATATAAAATTATGCACGTGCATTTACTAAAATATCTAATTATTAGGGGTATATATATTTGCAGTATATTTGCATAATATCTTAAATATAAAAATATCTTTTTGTATAATGGCTTAAGCTAGAAAACTACACAGAAGAGTAGCAATCTTTGAAGCTGAAGGAGGTTCAGATAAGACTTGGAATGGTCACAGAAAGGACACCATGCCAATTGTTGAAGCCTTTAAAGAATTAGGATGGGTAGCTGAACCCATCTTCTTTAGAGACGAATGGAAAGAATAAATCACAAAGTATGTGATCGAAAACTGTGATGCTTACATTCCAAGAATCAATACAGGAAATCTTCCAAATGGTGAAGCTGTCTTCAACTAAGCTTTAAGAGAGATGTGTGCTGCTGGAGTAGTTGGTACACCTCACCCTGACACTCTTATGAAATATGATTCCAAATTGAGTCTTGTAGACCTTAATAAAACTCCACTTTCCCCAGCTGACACAGTGGCTTATTTCAAATGGGATGAGCTTGTTAAAAATTTCCCAACTTCTTTAACAAATGGAGAAAGAGTCCTTAAACAAAATAGAGGATCAACAGGAGAAGGAATATGGAGAGTTTAAGTTGCTGAAGGAGTCTAAGTTGTTAAGGGAGAAGCCTTACCATTAGATACTAAGGTCAAATGCACTGAAGCAGTAGACAACCATGTTGAACATCACACTCTTGAAAGTTTCTTTAAATTATGTGAAAAGTATTACAAGGTTGAAGAAAATTTCCTCATTGACATGAGATTTTTACCAAGAATCAAGGAAGGTGAAGTTAGAATCTTCTTAATGGGAACAAAGCCTTTGTTTGTCATCCATAAGAAACCAGCTGATAAATAAGATGCATTTTCAGCAACACTCTTTTCTGGAGCTACTTATAAATATGAATCCCCAGAAGCCTGGCCAGAACTCATTAAATTCTTTACATCATGTCTTTAACATTTGACTGACAATCTTGGAGATGTAGAAACAGTCTTAGATTGGACTTGTGACTTCATCCTTGACACTGATGAAAATGGAAAAGACAAATATTGGATTAGTGAAGTCAATGTTTCATGCATTGGATTTACAAATTAATTGGACATTGGTATCTAATAAGAGATGGCAAGAGAACTTGTTAGAAAAGTCTTAAAAAGTAGATTTGGAATCAATGCCATTAGAGATTGATTAATATCATATAAAATTATAAAAATCTAATTGAAAAATTTTATAATATAATTAAATCCTTATAAGATTAATAAATTATTCTAATCTGAGAAAGCTATTTTGAAAGAGAGTTTATTTTTCTAAACCATTAAATATCAACATTTTATAATGATTTTTTTTTGGTTCAATAATTAATTACCAAGATTTGATCCTCTTTTTATTTGAATAAAAGGAACTTTTAAATTAGCTTGCCTATATGCTATATATGATTACAAATTGCTAATATATTGTTAATATTTTATTAAGAAAACTTGATTCTTTTTAAATAACGTTTTCGGAATCATCTAAATTTGACCAAAGAATGTATTATAAAATCATAATATTCTATTTCACTTCATTTTTTTTGCTTTTACGATCGCTTCTCTGTCTATATCTTCATTTATCATATTTAAAACTTTCTTAACATCGTCAGTCATTCTTAAATTTGTTGAATACAACTCCTCTTAATTTTGAAGTTTCTTATCCCAAATTATCTTGTCTCTTTAGTACTATTATTTCTCTCTTTCTAGTGATTTTATTATTTGCTTTTATTTTTTGATTTCTGTATAGATTTAATGATTTTATTCTTTAAGATCTTAGCAGTCCTTTTAAGCTTATTAGAGCTTTTATTAAAGCGATATTATTTATTTTTATTATTTCAATTCTCCTTCTCTATTTGTTTTTTTTAGTTATATTTCTCCATAGTTGGCTTTCTTATCAATTTTAATTGATTATAACAATTAATCCTCTATCATTTTTAATGTTTTCATAAAATCTTGTTTCTCAATTTTAGTTTGTTTAACTTTCACTCCTTTAAGCTATTCCTTAACAAAACCAATAAAATTTTATTAATTTTACATATTTTGATTTCTTTATATTAAATTATTAGTTTTCTATGTTAATTCATTATTATTTGCTTAACATAAATTAAAAAATGAGATTCAGTTTTGAACCTTTCTAATAGTAAATTTAATTACATCTGTTATCATTAGGAAATTATAATTATTTCAAAGGGATATGTTTCCTAAGATTTCTCTACTTGAATAGATTATTTATTTATAGTAAATTATGTATAACTCATCAGTTGCTTAAAATTTAGTTAAATATAAACTCTAATAAAATTTTCTTAATTTATTTATGAATATTTGTGATATTCAAGCTTTAGCTCAACTAATATAGCCTGATGAGGAAGAAAGCACTTTTTCAAATATAAATAATAATCCAAATAAAGGAAGTATTTTCGCCCCTAGCGATATTGGATCTAATGGTCAAAAAAAGGAAGTTGCCAAACCTTATGCTTAAATACAAGTAAAGCTAGGGCAAAAAGAATAAGAATAACAAGCACCACAGTAAATAGAGAAACCAAAATAAAAAATTGCTGATAAAAATGATATCTGGGATATTGATGAGGTAAAGTATATGGATTACAATTTATTAGGTTTTAGTACAAAATAGACCCAAGATGGACAATAGAAAAAGACCAGATGTTGATGTATTATATAAACAAATAGTTGGAACAGAAGATGTTTTTGGAGGTTGGAGTGGAATCGATCCAAGTTCAACAAAATGTTAAGGATTATTAGTAAAGATTAAATTACCTGATACTAAATTGTCAGAAATAAATCTAGAAGTGATGACTCAATAGATAATACTGTCAAGCACACAATATTATTTAGATTTTATACTTCCATATCCAGTAAATGAGAAAATGGGTAAAGCAAAATTTGTTTCAGACAAGGCAGTCTTAGAGATAGAATTGCCAATTATTCGTGAAGAATTATATTGAATAATATTCACAATTTTTTAAATGTTCCATTTTTTTCTAAAATACATAGTGGAGCGATTTCAAGATAGGCTAATTTTTAATTCATTAATCGCTAATTTTATTTAATCATAATAATACCAACAATTTAGATTATTCTACTGTTAAAGGTTTACCCTCCTGAGCAAGAATAAATTTTTCATTTAATACTATTTGCTAATTTATTAATTAAGTATTTAATCCTAATTTTCTTAAATATGGTTCTAAAGAATGGGCAAAGCTTTTTAAGGTATCTATTCCTTCTTTTAAGACAATTGTTTGATCAGCTATATGACCAGCTCTTGCAAACTCAGGAATTTTGTAAGTATCACAGTACTCTTAGATTTCTTGGAGAGACTTGTTGGTTAGAAGTAGTCCGGTTTCACCCTTAAGAAACTGCAAATATAAAATTTTAATTACTGGAGAGAGAAGGTAGGAATTTTTTGTAGCACTTTGTTCTTCACTTCTTCCTAAGCCAACTTACATGACTTTGTTTTTGCCAATAAAAAGTTTTGAATCAGCTTTCCATGCTTGTTGAATCTCTTTTAAAGGGTTTGTGGACAAATTTTTATATTGGAATACGATAGCTCTTTAATATTTTTTAAGGCTTTATTTAAGCTTCTTAACAAGTAATTCTTTCTTTTCTGGAGTTTTCTTTTTAGTTTTTGTTAACACCTAAGTCTTCTTTCTCTTTGTTATTGGCATTTTAATCAATTAATTTAATTATGGTGAAGAAAAATGAAAACCTTTAATAGGATGACCATCATGAAAGATTTCAATAAATAAAACCAGAGTTCAATGTTTTTAATCGTAAGAAGTTGAGGAAAGAAAAAAAAATCATGAAAAAATAGAAACATATGTAAATTAATTAATAGAAAAATTGGAGAAACTAAGGTATTTAGATTGATAATTAAAACTTAAATTAAAATAAAAAAAAAACATAAAACTAAGACTCTCAAAATTCATCATCACGATAGGAATAAAATTTATAATAATAAAAATAAGTGAAAAAGTAGCAAAATTCTAGTAATAAAGAAATTGATTAAAAGAGATAATAATAATTATAGAAAGAGATTGAATAAGAGGAAAAAGAAATAGAAAGATTAACTAAAAAATTAAAATTGAAATAAAATAGATTACCAAAAGCATAAATTATGGAAGATGGACTAGAAGATGATTTGTTTGATTTTTTAGATCATATTGATAAAAGTATCAAAGATAAAGATAGACCTAAAGACTATTTAGTTTTTTAAAAGAAGAATGAAAGTGAAGAAGATTAAAATTAAGATTAAGATATCGAGTAGGAGTCAGAATAATATTCAAATGAATAAATTAATGAATCTTAAGAAGAAGATATGGAAGAAGAAGATGAAGAATAAAATCAAGATGATGATCTGATAGAAGATTAAGAAAATTAGGATGATATAGATGATGATGAAGATAATAATGATGTTGATGATGATGATGATGATATAGATGATGATGAAATTTAACCAGACGAAGAGGAAATATAAGAAGAAGAAAATTAATCGCCAGATGAAAATGAAGAAGAACCTGAGGAATAAAGTGAAGAAATATTAATAAATAATTAATAAAAATAGAAATTGCCGAATAATGAACAAGAGAAAAGCAAATAGATAAAAGAATAATAATCCTAAAAAGATCTTTAACCAATTCAAGAAATTTAATATGATGAGACTTAACTTATGGAAGTTCGAAAACTTTTGAATAGAAACTTAAATAAAATTTCTGAAGCAAATATTAATAATATTGTAGATGAAATAGATAAAATATTTAATTAACATCCTAAGTAAATTGTAGGGTTAGTATTTGGATAGCAAATTATTTAATCTACAGTTAAACCTATTGCTCTGCTACCATATTTATTGAGTTGTATAATAGCGTCATCAAGTTATTTTCATTAATTATATGATAATCTCTTTTTTGGCGAATTGATTAAATAAGTCATTCTTAAATTAAGAGCTGCTCCTGTTAATCATGAAATTAAAAATATCACATTAATATTTTGTCATTGGTACTTGTTTGAATCAATTTCTTTGTAATTCATAAAGGAATTTTTAAAATATTTATTGAAAAACTAAACAGCTGATAATGTTGAAAATTTGATATTGATTATTTAATATTGTGGTAAGAAAATAAGATAAGACAATCCAGCAATTTTGAAAATGATCATTGAGGACATTAAGTATGCATTTTAAAATGCAAGTGAATCAAGAACAAAATTTTTACTTATGACATTAGATGATTTAAGATTAAATAAAAAGATAACAAGTTAATCAGAAAGATTAGAGTTTATATTAAATTGGCACAAATAAAGAACATCAAAATTGATTCATAGAATATTTTGTTAAGGTTTTGATTTTAGCTATGAATCCTAATTTTAAAGTAATAATTGGTGGAAGCCTATAGTAACAAATGAAGAATAAAGTTAATTATTTTAAGAATTTAAATTGTAAAAAAAAAATGTGAAATTAGAAAAATTAGAGCAACTAGCTATTGATTAAAAAATGGTAACAGAAACTCGTAAGACTGCATTTGTAATAATAATGGGAGCGGATGATTTATTTGAAGCTGCTTAAAATTTAGATAAATTAGGTTATCTTAAAAAGAAAAAGCAAGATGTTTGTTTGGTAATTGTAGAAATGTGTGGAAATGAGAAAACATATAATCCATATTACTAAGAACTTGCTCATTATTTAATTAATTTGGAAAGAGGAATGAAATAAGCATTTCAATATATGTTATGGGATAAATTTAAATTATTAGAAAACTACAATATAAGAAAATTAATAAACATTGCTAAATTTTGTTCGAATCTATTAAAGAAAGAGAGCCTAAATTTGCTTTTATTAAAATGGTTTAATTATGAAGAATTATTGGAAATTTAAGCTTAATTTTTGTGCATAGTAATTTAAAATTTTTTACAAAAGTAATTAAATTTAGTAATAATTATTATAGTATAACAATAGACGTAATGGCAAAATAGAGTAAGAATCTATTTGAACATGCAGACTATTTACCTTTTCGAAATGGGCTTTAAATGTTTATGAAAAATAGATTTAAAACTTATATTGAAAGTTAGGATGATTAGGCAAAGGTTAATCAATTAAAGAAGGATTTAAGAATAATGATAAAGTTATTAGATGAGAACATAATAAATAATGATGATTGATGAAAATATTTTATATTTATATTTAATGAGTATTTCAAGATTTAGATAGGTTTATTAGTTCCTGTATATATGCAACTGCATCATCAATACAAACTTAAATTTCTTACATTCCTTTGATAGTTTTATAACACAAAAATCCATGACAAATTTATTCATAAATAGTAAATTGGACATTTTTTTTTAGTTTTCTAATATCATAAATATAAAAATTTACAAAAGTCTTGAAGCGAAAGCCCAAGTATTGTCATGCAATGGATCCTTAGTTCCACACATAAGTCTGGTAGGGGGAAATTTAGCAAGAATTTCATCTGAAAGCAATAGCGGATTAATAAATGGATCACTGCTTAATTAAGTTAAGGGATTTTTAGCATAAGATTCAACACAAATTCCCAAAATAGTATGACTAATTATTTTATCAGTTAGTGCATGCAAAAATGATGGAGTGAAATTAAATCTTAAGTCTAAAGCAGGATAAGCCATAAATAATCCATCAGGAACTCTCTATCCCATTTTAATTGCTAATCCTGTCAATGCACAAGCTAAATTACCTCCTGCTGAATCACCTGCTACAATAATTCTTTTAGGTTGTATATCTATATAAGATAAAATAATTTAATGATACCAAAATGCTTGTAACAATAAATTAAGATCCAATTATAGGCTTACCATACATCATCTAAACCTTAAGGATAAGGATATTTTGGAGCTAATGAATAATCTATAGAAAAAATTGGAATTCCCAATTTAATTGCCCATTCTCTTGTGTAAGATTAATGGCTTGAACTAGAATGAGCAATGAATCCACCTCCATGAATATGTACTAGAATTGTATCATGTAATATATGTTATTATTGATTAGAAAACCATGAACTACTTGTATCATCTATAGAGGAATTGCATAAAATTCTTATCCTTAATTTTTATGGATCAAATTTATGTAAAATTGATTTTGCATTAGGATCAAGATGTAATTCTTCGTTTATTAATTTAATTTGTTGGGAAGTTATTTTATTTAATTATCCAGTTTTTAATTAACTATTTATCATTTAAATTGAAATAGGAGTAACAACAGGATCAATATAAATTTTACAATTAACTTTAATTTTTGGATAAGCCATAGCCATAATTTTTTTGATTGCCGGTGTTTCAATCATATTCATAACTTCAATTGCATTTTGAGCTTTCATTTAACTCATGTTTGTGAAGGCTTCTTTTTTTGCATCAAAAATTTGATAATAAACACTGTTAATTGCTAATTATATCTTTTTTAATATTTCATTCTTAAATTTACTGCTTTTTCCCATGATAGCATGTCCAATTAATATGGTGTTAGCAAAATTATCAAATGATTGATTTATTCTCTCAACATCTCCCAATGATTTTCTTTCACAAATTTGATAGAGTTCTTTCCAATCTTTATGATTCTTATCTAAAGAGAAAAGAGAGTTTTTATCAATATCAACTGATGCCCCAAATATAAGATTAATCATTATTAATTATGTAGATGCTATTTTTATATCTTTTAAGAATGTTTCTTTGTAGCCTTCAAAATTATCTAGAGCATACTTAGCAGTCTCTAACAAATTTGGAATATACACTTCAACCAAATATGTTCTAATTGTGTTAACCATTACAATATTGACATGAGATGGTTTTTGAGCTTAAAATGGTGACTTTCCTTATCCTAACATAAGATCCATTATTGATTGGATGACTGACTTTAAATTACGTAATTGTTTTTTTATATGTTAAAAAAGATTGTTTACTTCTTATTCATTAAGTGAGTGCAGTTAATCCACTAATCTTACTACATCTTCAATCATCTCATTTAAATCTTTTAGATATTCAACCAACATTTATTAGCTTTACTAAATACGATATTGATCACCATCATAAAGCAAATCTTAAGAGGATTATTATGTCCTTGCTAACTTAGACTTTTAATATATTTTATTGAATAGATCGTAATTTTCTACGCTTGGAATTCGATTCAGTCCTTGTACTTGTCTCATTAATTATGTTAAATAAAATCAAAATTGATTCAGAATCCCGCTTAAGTGAAGAATAGAAAATTAAAGATCGTAGAAGGAATGTAATTATACTTATTCAACGTTATCTTGTGAACTGTGGCTATATTGAATCAGCAACAAAATTAGGATCAGAATCAAATTTAACATTGAATCAATATGATGCAGCAGATAATATGGATTTATATATGATACTATGTGAATTTGAATAGTTTTATGAAATGAAATTTATGAAGCCTCCAAAATTAGTAAAGAAGGTTGATGGTTAAGGCACTCCTGGATTACCTCGAATTCCAAGTTCAGGAAAAAGTAGTAGTAGTAATAGTAGTAATACCAATAATTAAAATACTGCAAGTTCAAATAAAAAAAGTACATAATAATCAAAAGAGAAGGATAACAATAATAAAGATGCAAAAAATGAACCTGATTCACTTGAAATATAAGGAACAGGAGTTTAATAGAAATAATAAAATAATGATGATGGAAATCATAAAGATTGGTTTGATCCAAGAGTTTTAAAAGGATTACCTGATTATTCTGATGTTCCTGAATTTTAATAACTAGCAGCTTATTTATAGAGGGATATTTGTTCTGAAAATCCAAATGTGAAGTTTTCTGATATAGCAGGTTTAGATTAAGCTAAGAGATTATTAAAAGAGGCTGTTTTAGTGCCTTTAAAATATCCACATTTTTTTTAAGGGATTTTAGAACCATGGAAAGGTGTTTTATTATTTGGGCCACCAGGAACTGGTAAGACAATGTTAGCTAAGGCTGTAGCTACAGAATGTAGAACAACATTTTTTAATGTTTAAGCTTCATCAGTTGTTTCTAAATGGAGAGGAGAAAGTGAAAAGTTGATTCGTGTTCTTTTTGATTTAGCAAGACATTATGAACCAAGTACAATATTTATAGATGAAATGGATTCAATTATGGGTTAAAGAGGATCAGCTGGTAATGAACATGAAGGAGGAAGAAGAATGAAAACTGAATTACTTATATAATTAGATGGTTTATTAAAATCAAGAAAAAGAGTCTTTTTATTAGCTGCATCAAATTTACCATGGGATTTAGATATTGCTATGTTAAGACGTCTAGAAAAAAGAGTATTTTTATTAATATTTTAGATTTATATTCCTTTGCCTGATTAAGAATCAAGAGAATCAATGATTCGTAGATATATTCCATAAGAAATGAGTGAAAATCTAAATTATCCTTAGCTTGCAGAAGTTCTTAAAAATTATAGTGGAAGTGATATTAAATTAGTTTGTAAAGAAGCAGCTATGAAACCACTCAGAAGACTCCTTAGTTAAATTGAAGATATATAAGTTGATGTTAGAACAACAGCTAAACAAAAAAAATAATAAAATATGACATCATATGATGATGTAAGACCAGGACCAGTAACTGAAACAGATTTCACAGAAGCAATGAATTAAGTTAAACCATCACCAAGTGTATTTGAGAATTAATATCTAAAATGGGAGAAGGAAAGTGGATCATGTTGATAATAATTAATTAAATTAGTCATGATTTTCTTTTGTATACCAAAGCTTAAAATTCTGTAGGTCTTTAATATTATGCTTTTCTTTAGGAATATTGTCCAAAATAAGGATTTTAAAAGGTGATTTCAAATAATGATGGTAACATAGGAGGAGATTTAGGATGCATCTGATCTTGAGACATCTTACGTTTGGCTTTAATATGAAACTATTTCTTTATTTCTGTGTTATTAGGCTCAGTAATATGTCTATTTGAATCATTTTCCACCATACTCAAATTTTTCCGATAATCTAAACGATTTGATTAAATTCGTATTCTCCTTTTGATAGGTTAAGTAGACACAGGTTTTGAGATCTCATTCATATTTTTTATAATTCTTTGCATAATAAATTATCTCTTGATAGGACTAAATAGTTATGGTTCTCCAAACATAATAAAATATATTAATCATTAAAATTGCACAATAATACAACAAAGTTGTCGAAAGTCATAGAAATTAAAAAAAAATTTCAATTCAATTTCATTATCTTGATGTATATATCAAAAATTTGTTGAAATTATTATGCATTCTTATTATAGAGACTTTATTCATTTATGCTTACAATCTATTGTACATAAATTTATACTGTATTAAATATTCTATCAATTTAATTTTCCTGTAAGTTGATCAATAATTTAAAATAATATTTTAATTTATTGAAATAGCATTTTATATAAAATAGATCCTATGAGTTTCATTAATTTTAATAATTATAAAATTAGCTAATAAATTAGCTTGATTAATTTAAATAAATATTCATAATCAAATTGGAGATAGTTCTATTTTAAATAGATCAAGGATTAATATAAAAATTCATATTAAAATTTTAGAATTCGCAAAGCTTTTTATATCTGAAATATAATAAGTTATGTTGAAATTAGTTTGATTAATTGGATAAAATTGAATATATTAAAAAGATATTAAACATATAATCATAAGTATTAAAGTTTAATAAAGAAAAAATATGTTGAAATAATAAATAAATTGAATTTAGATAAATGACTAGAAAAGATGAATATTTAGAATATATAGGTCTTGAAATAGGGAAATAAGTTTGGTTGTGTTAATAAAAGAAATTATTAAAAAATCTATTGTATTTAGGTTTGAGTTTAAGTTTTATAACAAATATGAGAATAAACAGTCAAAATTTATGAATTTGAATAATTTATAAGGATTGATAAGTATTTTTATTAAAATATTACTTAATATTTTTGTTTTAAAATAGCGGCATTGTCATAACCTAACAGTCTTGATTAAAGTGAATCATTCTATGATTGCCTGGAGGATTTAAAAATACTGTCAAATTTGATTCAAAAAACAGATTTGAATTAATAATAATTACAATTATATGTATAAATATTTAGTATTTCAGTACATGTTGTAAGTTTTTGTTCTATACATACTTATGTAACCCATTTCTTCAGTATTAAATATACGCTTGCTTTGTCTTACATTGAGTATTTATGATGTTTGAATTGGTTTATATTCTGCAATAACTTCAGGTGCTAGTTTTAGCAATTAATCAGCTAAGGTTTTTTTTAATTTTGATAAAGACTTTTTTGGATATCTCAAAATCATCTAAGCAGTAACATCATTTTATATATATGATTTAGACATTGGATTTATCTTATGAACTTTAATTGTAAGTATATTAATAACCTACTTATTTTCATTTCCGATATCAGTTTTTTATGATTGAGTGCTTCTTTACATGAATGAGTTTTAATGAATACTACATTAAGTTGCATCTATTTAAACTATCTTAGATTTATCAATTTAGAGAATAGGGAATTTCTTTTAAGGAATAATAGTTTCATTAATTTATTTTTGATATTAGGAAAATAATGAATGAATTGATTTCTCTTATTCTGGAATCAAACTATTAAATTCAGTTATTAGACTGAATAACTTAGCTTCAAAATCTTTATTTTATAATTTATAAATATTGAAATACCCTGAAGTATTGATCAATAAGAGTAAATCAATGAAAATGTTTGGTTTGATATTTAATTTCAAGAATTGCTTTTAGTGTAAATACTGATAGGATTCTTCAATAAATCGTGGAAACATCTATAAATTTTATCAATATAAGAATACCATAGTTTTGTTGGCAAATTCTCTATAGAACTCTTAGTCTAGTGGAGCAAACTATTCAATATACAAATCTTTATCAAAAATATCTTCTATTTTTGGTTTTTATTGAAGTATGTCAGAATAAATAAAGTATGGAATGATGTTATTGATAAGTTACAATTAAAACTTAAGGAAACAGCATTAAACTTATAACAATTCAGCCTACTAACAAATATTTACATTACATTATCGCAATAAGAGAATTTGGAACTCTAATTAATTAGGATTTCGATTAGTTATTCTGGGAAAGGTAAAATCTAAAATTAAAGTTATAGATCTAAATACTAAATTGCTGCCAATGACTCTATCTTAATCCAAATCAACCAAAACTTTATCAAGACAATCATATTATATCAATACTCGTTCCTTAAGATTACAATGAACTCCTATAATATATGGGACTGAAGCATGAAGAGTATCTAACATTTCTCCTGGTAAATAAGGTATATAAATGCATCTCCATTATAGAGGATAAATAAATTGCAAGAATGCCTCAGTTATTGTGGCCAAATCCCAAACTTACGTTGTAAATAAAATAATTTATTTTTCAAGGATTATTGATTAAACCACTTTAATTATACTTTTTATTGATAATTTCGAAAATAAAACATTGAAACTGATGTCCTTATTATAGAGATTATTTTTATTGTGAGGATTGTTAATCATTAAATCTGTTATTACTTCTTATCTTGTCCTCATTATTTGCTTAGGTATATAATACAATCCATTCAAGTTTGTAATTCCCATAGACAAATAGAATTCAAATAATTATTGATTAAATAATTTCTAAGATCCCATTTGCCATCCACGATCTCTATATCTCTATTGATATTCAAATATTAGTTTATACAGTGACTCTATCAAATATGCCATTATATAGCGCTCTCATGTAAGATTTCTACCTCATCAAGTTTGATTACTCTGAAACTATCACATAGGCAAAGGGAACATAAAAATCGTTTTTCTAGCTTTCATATACTACCAGAGAAGTGCAGTATCGTAATTAGCCATTTTGATCAGTGATTACAAATTAATGCAAATAATTCTTGCTATTAATGTCATCTTATTTCTTTTAATATTCTTATTCTAATTTAGCATCAAAACCACTTGTAAAGCACATCTATTATGCTATTAAAATTAATTATTACGATGCCTAAATTTCTTAGATAATCTGGAAGACTTGACCCATTAATGTGAAAGTACTCAATTATTTCAGTGTCTTTATATTCTTCTGGTTTATAACCAATAATGAGAAACTCAGAAAAAAGCGTCATAGTTCTTGTATTCGTTATAATTAATAAATAAATAAATGGATTCAACCAACGAGAGCTGCACTAATTCGAGTTCTTTTCATTCTGTATTTAAGTTAAAAGTAATGAAGAAATTTATAAACTGTTTCTTTCCTGAATACAACAATTTTATAGATGTGGCAATTTATTTGCTTAATAGTGGATAAAAAATTTTCAATTTAGTTTCTACTATAAAGGTTATCTGTTTGTCATAATATCAATAAAGTTATTAAGTTTATCAATTTATCTTAGAGTGAATGAACAAGAGTCTTTTGTAATTAAGGAGTTAATCATTATTTAGTCGAATCATTTTTTTAAAAGCATTTTCATAAATTTATTCTAGGAAATTGTTATTATTATAAAAATTAAAGAATAATTTTACAAATAGCTTAGGTAATTATTACAATTCCCAATTTTGTGATCAAGTTTGAGAGCTTATATTAACTCTATATCAAAATTTATGGAATTTGATTTGAATCATAACTTCTTATTTAAATGAGAGAGTTCGTTATGAAAATTATTGAAATATGTTATTAATTATGAATAGCAGTTAATAGGAACGATCATTAAAGCATGTAAAATAATGAATAGATAAAAAAAATGAAAGAATTTGTAGAATAATTGATCGAATTATTCTAAAAAATGATAAATTACTAAGATTGGTTAGAGAATAGTATTTCATTGATTTCATATTTTGATAAATAAGTTAGAATCAATGGATGTAAATTATATCTCAATTCTTGGTTGAAAATGGAGGAATAAGGTTACAAAGGTTATCTTAAATATTAATATAATCTTAAAGATATAATAAAATTTATAGATGATGATTCTACAATAATAATTCAAGTATCTTGATGTATATCAATAATTAAAATGGAGTATATTTAATAGATTTTATTCGACAGCACAAGAATTATTATTAATATATCAACTAATTTGACTCTAAAATTCGATAATGAAATGATGATTTTCTTTTAATTAAGGTATCTAATTTAATTGATAAAATAAAGAGTTTAGTATTCTTAAACATTTGTCAGACTTATATATTTAATTAAACGAATAAACTTATCAATAACTCCTTTCATTCCTTATCTATTTGATATCATTAATAAAGGATATAGAATTAAAAATTGAGAGTATACGCTTTAATTATAGAAGACATTTGACTTTCTAAAAAGGTTTATTTTGAATTATGGATAGAAAAGTCTATGGTTTGAAGTAGAAGAAACATTAAATATTTGAGGATGGTTTGTTAATAACTTAAATTTGAAGTCAGAATTTAATTCTCGTTGTTTATCATATATATCTATGCTTTATAAGTTAGATAGCTAAAGATTTTAATTTAAAACTTTGTTCAATTCATTTTAACCATCTTGTAGCAATTATTAAAAAAAAATCATACAAATAGTTTAAAAGAAAATATGAAAAATCTTCACCCTTAACATTAAAATTGGACTAAAAACTCTTATAAAAAATAATCCTAGTGTAAGAGTTCATACTTCAAAAGATAAATTATCTTCTTAGACTCTAACTTTAAAAAAATAATAAATATTATTTTCTAAATCTCAAAATAAAAGCACTTACCTAAGAATATCTCTAAAAGTTATAAAGATGATTGATTAGTATTGATAATTTTTTTCCTTTAATTTATAATATTTTAAATATATACACACTTGATAAAATGTCTTGCTTTGATTTAAGAATTCTATTATAATTATAATGTAAACTAAAAAAGCATTTAATTATCATTTTAATAGAATTTTAGTTCTAATTATAGTCTAATCTATTTTATAATATGTAATGATAAAGCTTATTAATAAAATATTTAGGTATTATCAGATTTATATACAAGGCTAAAATAATACAATCTATACTTAAATATTTTTAAAGAATATAAAGTAACAACAAATGGGAGATTATGTTAAAGCACTTATTGAAACGCAAGTTATTGGAGCCTTTAGAGTAGCATTAACTATGCCATTAGAACATGTTCTTGATAGAATTAAGACATATAAACAATCAAAATAAGGAATCACATATATTTAAGTAAATTTATCACTAAATTATAGAGTTATATTGATATAAAGGGAGCTAGAGGAATGATAGGTTTATATGATGGATTTTCTCCAAGTTTTTTAAGAAATATGGTTAAACAGTATTATAGATGGCCTATGATGATTTTTATTCCTTAAATACTGAATGAACATATCCATAACCAGTCCATAAATAAAATTATAACAGGAGCATCTATTGGGTTATTTGAAAGTTGTATTATAACTCCTTTTGAAAGACTTAAGACCTTAAAAATGACTTCTATGTCCACTGGTTTTGGTTATTTCAAATACATAACATTTGAATCAATATATGTTGGTTTTAGAATTCAAACAACTAGATAAGTAGTATCATGGACCAACTATTTATATTGGGATCACAAAGTTCGTTATGCATTAAAAGCTGATCCTGGATAACCACTTTCTTTAGTTAATTCCTTAATTGCTTCCTCTCTTAGTAGCATTCTGAATATTTTGGCTGGTATTTATCATCTAAATCCTTAGTTCATCCTTTTGATACAATTAAAACACTTGTGTAGATGGAGGGAAATCAAAATTTTAAAAATATCTCACTTCTCCAAGGTTTTAAAACTGTTTATTAAAATTATGGTATTTCAGGACTATATGCAGGATGGTAAGCAAGAATAATAGCTTACTTCTGTTAAGCTCTTCTTACTACACCTACTATAGATTACTTAGAGAGAAACTATGGAATTTCAAAAAATTAGAAAAAATAATGAACATAATGTTCTCATTTACATTTTGCCTTATTTTTAATCTCATATCAAATTATTATAAATTATTTTTAAGATATATATATATATATGTAAGATATATCATTAAATTCAAAAAAATATTATCAAATATTTTAGAATTTATCATAAAAAACATATTTTATTATTAGGTAATTTTTATTTGTTTATCTTTCCAATGATTGTAAACTAATTCTTTTAATTTTATTGATCTATCCTATATTATTGATTCAAGGCCTCTACTTTGTTATTTTTTATAAAAATAACCTTTTTAATAACTTGTTTTATTATCAAGATTTCCTTCCAGTAAATTATTTTTCCATTTCTTTCAATTTTTATAAGAAAACTTCAATTTATCAATAAATTCAGTTAAAACATAGATTTTATTAATAAAATCTTATTATTAATCATTAATTGCTGGAGATTTAAGTTTTTTTTTAAGTTAATTCTTCTATCTTTAAATTAATTTACTTTCTTCCTTAATTAATAATATAACTTTTAATTTTGTTATTCTAAATCTAAATATAGAATAAAAGTATTGTTTTGCTCATTCTCTATATGTATATCGATCTAAGTAGTGATTCTATTTAATCTTCATATATATATGTTTTTGTTTTGAAACATATTCATTATATTGAGCGATTATCAAATATATTTATTATTATAATAATTATATTCATCATTTAATATTTTTTAAACTGCCTCAGTCATTGGGTATACTTATTATCTTTTATTACCATCTGCATAAAGATTTTCTGAAGCAGGTTTGATTTTTTTTAATTCATACTCTAAAAAGAGATTAGATTCTGTTAGTCGATTCAATTATTATCTATTATTTGTTGATGTATTAAATTTTCTTAACATATACTCTCTTACAGCATATTTACTATGAAATCTATTGATAAGTTAATCTGTGATAGGATTCTAAGTATAATAAAGATGTCTCATTGCATGATCAAAATCTTAGAGTTCAGGATAGGAATTTTTATTCTAGTTATAAAATTGAGCACTCATATTAATTAAATTTATTATTATTATATAATATAGATGTAATAAATTTTGAGTAAATGTTAGTCATATTTTTTCTTCTTATCTATTAGAATATCCTAATATGATATTATTGTTTTCTTCTTTTTAAAGATGTATTTGAGATTGACTCTTTTGTGGTTATTTAAAAAATATAATGGATCTGATTTCTTTTTCTTTTTCTTTTTACAAAAAGAATTAGGATTCAGTTTTTTTTTCATTTAAAATTTAAGATTGTTTTTCTAATTTAATTTTCTTGCTTAGAGTAATTTATTTAGTTCTTTTGAGATTTTACTAAAAGAAACGTAGAAATCTAATTATACATATTTAATTGGAACACTATATCCTTTATCTTAGATTTCATCTTCAATTTAATGTAGTTATTTACTGAGTTCTGATTAAATGACTTTGACCAATTCTGTATCAAATTTCTTAGATATTCTACCTTAAGACAATTTTCCAAAAGATTTTTATTCTTTTACAGCCTTTTCAGATTGTGTAAATTCTGGTGGTGGTTAAATAAAAGAATATTATAAAATAGGTGGAAGATCTTTCTTTTTTTATCTTACAATATGACTTTACAATTATTTTGGAACAATAACTTTCGGTTCTTATTTTTCATAAGGTTCTAATGAAGGAGCAGATAAATGCAAAGATTCCATATTTTATTTTGGTTAAACAATTTTAGTTAAACTATTATTACATTTTTAACACTCAGTTTATGATGCAATATGTGTTAATGTTTTTTATGGTTGATAATCTAATTCAAACATAGGTTTAGGATGATCAAACTTAGGAATCCTTGTACTAACAATTTATTATCGTAAACCAAACACTTAAGTAATATATATAATACATTATTACTTTCTAGTTTAGTAGGTTCATAAATGAAGAGCTCTCCTAATCTTTACTTTGTATCAGTTTTAGAAGATATAAACTCAGCTCTTTCAAAATTAGACAAAGATCCAACTGATATAAGTCTTTTTGTACCAGTACTCTTAGATTCCATTATCAATGATTTTATTTTATTATTAAAATAATATTATGAGTATTCTATGAATTAAATTATTCTTATCATTATAAAGATTATTGATTTTAAATGATCTCTTATACTTATTCATCTCAAAACCTATCTTATTATCTTTTTCTATTTATTCACCAAGTGGAAATTTCTCTATATATTATGTTTTTATCTCTTTATCTCTACATAATACTATCAAATCTGCTTAAAAACTCTTATCTTCTATTACATATACATCATCCATTATTGATATATATACCCAAGTAGTTCTAATTTAGATTTAACTATTACACTTTATTTCTTACCCTTTTATCTTTTTAAAATATAACATTCTGTTGAAATTTACTTATAAATGTCTGTCATAATCTTTCCGACCTTCTCTACAACTTGAAAATCCTAAGACAAATATTAATAGACATATTTACTAAAAGAATTCAAGGTTGATTATATTGTTATGCATTTCATTATGATAAAATTCAAAAAGTATACTCAAATATTAACATATTTAGTAAATTGAAGTAATAAAGAGAATAGATAGGAATTTTACTATAGATTTCACTTTTCCTGATAGTCTTTATATAATTACTATAAAATTATTAGACATCTTGATATACAAAATAGAATCTTTTAGGTATTTTATTTGATAAGGATCTATTACCAAAACATAGTTTATTTATAATTTATTAATCATAAAAATTCATTTTCAAAATGTACAAATTGATTTGATGTTTTAAGTTATTAATTTTACAAGTATTCTAAATCTTTTAAATAACTTTATTCAATTAAACAGGTGTCTATTTTTTATTATTCACTTATAAATTGACTTAATAACATTGATTAATTAATGATATTATGATCTAGTTTTTAATCATTCTAAATATTCTCTATTTCTTTTCTAAATGAGTTCTATTACTTTTTTATCAATTCTTATTTCTATATATTCGCATTTAATTATTTTCTCATAATGTCTAAATCATTAATTTATTTTTCTAGACATTCTAGATAAGCTTATTTTGCAGCAATTGGAACATCTTCAAATAAAAGATTGTCAAACAAAAATAATTTACTACTCTTTATTGAAGATTTCTTATTTATTATAAAACTTCCTTTATTTTTCATAATAATTTATATAATATTTTTATATATATATTTATTAAATATATAATAATCATTTTAATTGTTTTTTCTTTTTTAATTCATGTCTATCAATTTTACTTACTCCATCTACAAACTATACTTTATATAAGACATTTGCATTTTAATACATTCCTTCTTTTAATGAAATCAATAGAAATTGTGATTATTTGAAATTCTATGATAACATTTAACCTATATTTTCTGTATGTGATAAATCTAAGGCACTATCAACTTCATCTAAAATATAAAATGGAGCAGGTTTATATTTTAAAAGAGCTAATATAAATGATAATGCTAATAAAGATCGTTATCCTCCACTTAATTCTGATAGATTTTTTTATTGATGACTAAATGAAACATTCATTTCAATTCCATCTTCTANTGTCTGTCATAATCTTTCCGACCTTCTCTACAACTTGAAAATCCTAAGACAAATATTAATAGACATATTTACTAAAAGAATTCAAGGTTGATTATATTGTTATGCATTTCATTATGATAAAATTCAAAAAGTATACTCAAATATTAACATATTTAGTAAATTGAAGTAATAAAGAGAATAGATAGGAATTTTACTATAGATTTCACTTTTCCTGATAGTCTTTATATAATTACTATAAAATTATTAGACATCTTGATATACAAAATAGAATCTTTTAGGTATTTTATTTGATAAGGATCTATTACCAAAACATAGTTTATTTATAATTTATTAATCATAAAAATTCATTTTCAAAATGTACAAATTGATTTGATGTTTTAAGTTATTAATTTTACAAGTATTCTAAATCTTTTAAATAACTTTATTCAATTAAACAGGTGTCTATTTTTTATTATTCACTTATAAATTGACTTAATAACATTGATTAATTAATGATATTATGATCTAGTTTTTAATCATTCTAAATATTCTCTATTTCTTTTCTAAATGAGTTCTATTACTTTTTTATCAATTCTTATTTCTATATATTCGCATTTAATTATTTTCTCATAATGTCTAAATCATTAATTTATTTTTCTAGACATTCTAGATAAGCTTATTTTGCAGCAATTGGAACATCTTCAAATAAAAGATTGTCAAACAAAAATAATTTACTACTCTTTATTGAAGATTTCTTATTTATTATAAAACTTCCTTTATTTTTCATAATAATTTATATAATATTTTTATATATATATTTATTAAATATATAATAATCATTTTAATTGTTTTTTCTTTTTTAATTCATGTCTATCAATTTTACTTACTCCATCTACAAACTATACTTTATATAAGACATTTGCATTTTAATACATTCCTTCTTTTAATGAAATCAATAGAAATTGTGATTATTTGAAATTCTATGATAACATTTAACCTATATTTTCTGTATGTGATAAATCTAAGGCACTATCAACTTCATCTAAAATATAAAATGGAGCAGGTTTATATTTTAAAAGAGCTAATATAAATGATAATGCTAATAAAGATCGTTATCCTCCACTTAATTCTGATAGATTTTTTTATTGATGACTAAATGAAACATTCATTTCAATTCCATCTTCTATTGATTATCCATCCAATCTACCTAATTTTGCTTATGCATTATGTAATAATGAACTAAAAATTGATGAAAAATCTTTGTTCACTTCTAAAAAACATTTTTCTATTGTTTTAATTTTCTTATCATCTAATTCTCCCATATTTTATATAAGCATAGATTTATCATTTTCTAATATTAATTTTTTATCTTTTAATGATTAAAATTCTTTTTCTACTTATTCTGTCATTGCTTCTACCTTAAAATTTACTTATTTTCCTAATTTACCCTAATCATGTTCCAATCTTTAAAATTATTATTTAGTTTTTTCATATTCTAATGTTTCAAGAACTCTAAATTTCTCTGATAATCTATCTTACGATAATTCATTCTTATCTTATCTAATAAAATCATATTGATCTTCTAATTATTTCAATTATTATTTTAAATCATGTTACTCTCTTTCTAATTTTTTCAATTCATTCTAATGTCCATTTAATTATTCTACTGTTGAATTCAAATATTTCTGCCTTTCTTACAATTATTCTAACAATCTTGTCATTTAATTATTATGAATAGCATTTTTGCTTTCATATAGATTCTTTTCTTCCGTTATTTTTAAAAATTAATCTTTATTTAAATTTAATTCATTTATGATTTATTCTAAAGTACTTGTAGTTTTCTCTAAATTATTAGTTTCTTCTTTAATTTTCTTAATACATTTATTAATTTCTTATTCATAATTTTAACTTTCTACTTAATTTTCAATTAATTCTTTTTTTTATTAATCTATTTATTATTTTAATTTATTAATTTCCTTTTTAGTTCTATCAATCTAAGCTTAAATAAGTTCTTTAGTATTTTTACCTTACTATATTAATTATAATTCTTTTTTTAATTCAACTAATTTATCTTCTCCTTCTTTAATTTGTTTTTTGAGTCTTTCTTATTCAATTTATAAATCTTGAATATCATTTAAATATTTATTTTATTCAGTCTAGAAATTGAATTAATTACTTTTTCTTTATTTAATCATTAATTATTCTAATTGATATTTATCTTAAGTGATTTCTCTACTTAGTTACTCTTTAAATTCAATATCTTATTTAACTTTTTCAATTTATTATTCAATTTTATCAATTTATCCTTATATTTCTTTATATTCTTAATTCCATCTATTAACTAATTTAAATTTAGGTAATAATTATGTTTTTTCATTAGTATAACCACCAGTTAAAGTACCAGATGGATCAACAATATCACCATCTCTAGTAACAACTTTACATTTTTAAACATTTGAAGGATGATAAGCAATTTTTCTAGCAATATCCATAGATGAAGCAATTATAAAATTACCAAATACAAATTTCATAGAGTTAATAACTTTATCAGAAAATGATATTAAATCTATAGCAGGTTTAGCAAATCCATCATTTTCTTTTGCAATTTATGCTGCTGCTTAAACAAATTCTCTTTTTGCCTCATTTTATTAAATTTCTTTGTTTGGTATAATGTAGGAATGAGTTTAGAGAATATTATTTTTAAGTAAATATGTAGATGTAGTTGAATCATCAACAACAATATTCTATAATTTGGCACCTGCACCAAATTCAAGTGCTTTCATATATGATTCATCTTTAACTTCAAATAAACTAAACAATTTTCCATAGACTCTATTCTAATCCCAATCTTTCATACGTGATAAATTCAATTAAAAAATAAACGGTTATGATTATGATATTTGTTTTTTAATTTCTAATAATTATTAATCTAAATCTCCTCTATTTGATTTCAAATCTAATAGTTACTAATCTAAACTAGATGATTTTTAAATTTCAGATTCACTTTACTCAATCCTTTTTTTTAAAAGTTCAATTTTAGTTTCAAGACTTGTAGCTTCCTTTTACATTTATTCATATATAGTCTTTGAACTTAACATATGACTATCTATTCTCTATAAACGTTCTGTTACTTATTCTAAATCTTTTCTATTAGAATCAATATGTGATATTGTATCATTAATTTATCTTTAAATCATCTATTTACCATTCTATGCAATATTACCATCTTCAGATTAATTTTATTATCCAATTTATTCATCTAATAATTCTTTTTTCTCTTTTAATTCATCTGTCATTTATTTTAATTAACGATCAGCAATTTCTACTTTTTAATCTGTTCTTTCTTTATCAGTCTAATAAGTTCTTAATGCATGTTCTAATTTAATTTTTTCTCCCTCTATAGTTTCTTTTTATCTTCTTGTATTTTATACTTTATTTTCTAAAGTATTAACTAATTTTTATTTTTCCTTATATTTTTCTGTAATTTAATCATATTTATTATTTTTATTTTATTCTTGCAAACCTTATATTTTTTCTTAGATAGCAGATATTTCAGCATTTTCATATCTCATTTTTTCTTCTTGATTAGTTATTTATTCATTAACAATTTATAAATCATTTTTTTTCATTCTTAAAGTTTTAGCTTTCTAATAATAATCATAACTATATAAATCTTTCTTTAAAACTAAGATTTATGCTTCTTAAGCTCTCCATAATTAGAATATATTCTTTTCATCTGTTAATTTTTACATTTATGGTTAAATTTCAGTTTCAATAATTTCATTAACTTATTTTAATTTTTCTTCTTTTTTTTGAATTAATTTTTAAGCTTCTCTTTTTTTTTCATTATATAAAGAAGTTCCTGCTGTTTCTTCTAACATACTGATTAATTCTTAAGGTTTAAGATTAATAATTTTAGTAATTCTACCTTATGCAACTAAAAAATGAGGATTATCAATATTTAATTGAACTGATCTAAACATATTTTTGAAGTTCTTTTGAGTTTCAGATTTTCCATTAATAAAATATTTAGATTTATCAGCTGTAATTTATCTAGTGACTGTAATTTTATCACAATCTTAATATCCTAATGGACTTTACTCTTTATTTCGATTATCAAACACAATAGTAACTTCAGCTTTAGTAATTCCTGCAGCTCCATTTTTATAAATTAATTCTTACAATTTCTTAATACGAAGCTAATAAAATATAAAAGATTAATACTGTATCATATTCTTTACTCAATCCCAGACAAAAGAGAATAGCATCCAAAATATTAGATTTACCTGAACCATTCAATCCAGTGATGGCATTGAATTCTGGATCAAGATTTGATATAACAGTTCTTTATGCATAAGACTTAAAGCCTTCAATAATGATTTCTTTGATCCACATAATATTTTAATTTAAATATTTGCCCGGTTTTATTTATTTATATATATATATCACTTAATTGTAATAATTTGGGTTGGTAATGTTTTCTTCTAACTTATTGACTCTATAATAATTGGTAATCCTTTTAATTCGACCATCTTATTATATACATTCAATAAGAATGTTGAATTATATGAATTACTCATCTCTGGTAACTTTGTTCCCTTACTCAAACACTCAAATGAATAATTCACATAATCGAACAAGATTAATAATTTATCATTTGGTAACTTCTGAAGCAAATCCTCACATATTTCAATACAATCTTACTCCTGAAACATTCTGAACTGTAAACTTACTTAAACTTTAATGAAACTTTGATAAAGCAACCAACTTAATCTCATCACTCTACACTTTCTATACAGATTTCAACAATGTAGCAGATACATTCCCTACCAAATCTCCTGACAGACTCAATTTACTCAATTCTTCTGCTGCCATCTTATCATAATCTTACTAACTTTTCTTTCCTTTATCCTATTCCATATATATGATATTATTTATTTTTTAATAAACTATCCTCAATTAATATTCACTCTTTCAATACTCCTACCTATACAACATTCAACACTATCATTTTATTCACTCCCTTATCCCTTTTATTCTTTCTCTTATTTTACTTATTAATTTACTATCAATTCAGAAATCCTTATGCAACTTCAAAATTATTGCTAAATTTGTTATGAACTCACTCAAATCTCACTATTATAATGCACTTGTTAAGTATATCCTAATTATATTAAATATTATACCAAAGTATATTATTATGTTCAAATTTATAATTAGATTTAAATAGATGTTAACTGATTATATAGATTAATATTTATTTATTCTCCTCACACATTTAAATATTAATTGTCCAGTAAGATGTAAATAAATATTATATTTTTATTCCATCTCATAATTAGCTATCTTTTACTCCTTCATTTAAGATATTCATCATCAAATATTTAAAAACTATTGTCAAAAATCTCCAGATGTCTTATAATGTCCAAATAACAACTGTGAATTCTATTATTTAAAACCTTGTTAACTCAATTCTCTTGATATTTGTTCTATATGCTAAACTAAATTAGAAAATTACGAACAAACTTCATTTCATACTTTATTCAATCAAATTACTGAATTTATTTCTATCTCTTAATATTCTAGGTGTGAAGTTAAAATTATTAAAAATGGTGGTGCTAGCTTTGCAAATTTTAATTTTGTTGGGATTGTAGATAAAATTGCAAACACCATGATTAGAGTATTTGTATATATAAAAATATATTTACATTAATCATCATAGACCAACTTCTTTATACTTTATTGATTTGACATCTACTTATTATAAGTTTTTGCATATATATTTTCCATAACCTACTTGTACTAAATAATTCAATCTTATTACTATCTGGATTAATATTTATCTAATTTTTAAATTAAATCAAAAATATCAAAAAATCACATCTCACAGAATCTTATTTGCTTTAATCATGTTGAACATACTTTTTGTCATTTCCTAACTATATAATAGAACAAACTCTTCTAGATTTCATTTCCTATATCATAAAAGAAACTATTTATATTATTATCATAACTACTATTTTAATTAGTTTTATAAATAGAAAATTAAATTGAATTGATTTTTTACATATATATGTAAATTCATAACTATTATATCCTACTGTTAATTGTAGATTATAATTTATCTTTAAAACTCTCAATTAACTCTTTAGAAGTATCTATTATCCAATAATAGACTTTATTAATGATTTATTACTAAACAATATTCTGTTTATTTAATTCAATTAATTCAAACTGATTTCATATGCAACAACTTTATCCACTATTTTAGCCTCTTTATAATTCATACATGTTCATAATAATGCTTTATATTTTTTCACATGTTTTATAATGTTTATATTTTATTGTCTAATTGTGTTTTTATTTATATTATAATAGAAATTGTTAATATATATTTGATTTCAATATATATTATTTAATAATACTTGAATAAAAACACATTAAGTAATATTAGATTAATATTCTTTAAGAAAATGAATTATTAACGATCCATTTAATGATACTAAATTAATAATTCAAGTAATATTGAATAAATTAAATTTAATAAAAAGACATGTAAAAATTATTTGGTTCTACGTATGATTATCTAACAATAAGTTTAAATTAAGCAAGTACAATTAGTCATCCTGGTATTTGTAAAATTTAAATTATAGCTTCTTATGTAAAAGAAGGAACAGGGAAATAAGGGATTAGAAAGATATATGGAAATGGAGGTGGTGGAGTACCATTTGATTAATTTGAATAACAAATGCTAGCCTAATTGAAATAAAAACTAAATGGAATGGCTAGGTATTAGTTTAATGTGAAAAAAAAATAGTCATTATCCTGATATATTATTATATCGTTTCTTGTATTCATTTCGTTTTAGTTTAGATGATACTTATAATGGAATCAAGAATCATGAGGAATGGTTGAATAATCCTTCAACATTCTAATTGAATAGTGGATCCTAGGCGATATTGGTATTGTTATAAGATTGAATTCTAGGACAAAGGAATTATTTATTTGGGTGGAAGGGATAAAAAATATAGACCTTCAGTGATTTTCTAGGTAGGTTTGATTGATTAAAAAAATATAAAAGTTGAAGAATTTTTAGCAGCTTTAAACACCGTTTTTATGATAACATAACAATATTGTTTTTATGAAGGATATGTTGAAAATTGGATAATATTGATTGATACAGCTGAATTAGGTCTATTAAGTTTACCTGTTGAAATTTTAAAGAAGATTATCTCAACAGCTGCTGCACATTATGTTGGAAATTTAGAAAAATTATATCTCTTAAATCCATCAATGGGTCTTAATATGTCATGGAGTT